TGTTCTATTACGTATTATATTGTTCCTAGAACACGAGCCTTTCATGAGCCTGTCACGAGGTCACTGTACGAAAATAAAGATCCACATTCCAAATAATATCCACTCATTGTTAGCTACTAATTGTACGCTATAAGTTTCAACACGTTTCATACCTTCGTTATCACTTTGGACTACGTTTAGTATAAAATAAAGTTTAATAAAAAAAAGTTGTTCTACATTATACTTTACAATACACACATATTAAATGTATCTATATATGTTGAATTATATATTATTCATTCGAATACACTGTATATTCAAATAAATTTTATTCGAATATGTCTTTAATTCGAATACATTATTCCCACATACACGAATATAAATGTTATTCGAATATAATTTTATTTTAGATACACAAAATAAATTTATATTCGAATAAAAAATTATTTTTTATTTATGAATAAGACTTTATTCTTTATTCGTAAATGTACCCAACTCTGAGGTGCAGTACTTTACATACGTGAAGTCCTCGATTTTTTAAAACCAATAGTCAGATTTATTAAAGATAGAAAATATTTCTAAACATTAATTGAAAATATGAAATATTCTTAATATTTATGTGAGTGAAGATTTAACTATTCATATATATAACTACCCACAAACAGCATATCGGATGCAGTACTTTAGATTATACGTATCTAAAGTTCTCAATCTCTTATTCCGTTCCGTCAATTCAGAGATTTTTATGGGACTGTAATGTCAATAATTCGATCGTTCCAGCATACCCTTAAAACAGATTAGACGAGGTCGCTTGATACGACAGTGTATGTCTTTAAAGACAGAATCAGTTATATTTCACTTGCGTTAATCTCTTGAAGATCTAGGGCCGTCCGACGACGTTATTAGGCCCCGGATGACATGAGGGTCGGATGTCTAATCGACCTAGGAATAATGTGTCGCGTTTGCCGGGAACTTCGTCCCCGGCCGAGCTTGCTCCAAGGGATATTCTAATCCGTTCCTGAGAGCTCCAACCCGGTTCTCGCAGAATCCCGACCGGGAAGAGGGAAGCGAGAGGTGCCGTATGTGCCAGCCCTCCGCTTATTCGTTGCAAAGCTCGCTCGCCAGGATAGACGGCGAAGAACAGAGGGTGAAGGAGGGGTCGGAAGGGGGAGGAAAACGATAATTCGGCTCATTCGGTGGTTGAGCTCCAAGAACGGAGACTCCCCAGTCCTCGCTCGGGGTGAGCAACTGCGGGCCATTTTCTACCCTCCCCCTTCCTCTTCCCTCTTGATATCGCTGTTAGACGGCGAGTACCGAAATTCCGCGCTAATCTCGATTTACGACACCACGGCAAATCATATGTGCCTCTGGCGATTCTCTCCCTCGCGCCTTCGCGTTATTAGCCGGTTATCAAGCCGCCGTGTTTCTGAATCATCGGCTGTATACGTTGATTGCGTGTGTCCTAGGCGTGGCAAAACGGCTTGATGTTCCGGATACTTTTCGAAAACAACTTTAAAAGACACATACAGATTGTAAGTGAAACAAAAGATCCCTATACGAATAAATCAAATAAATAAGAAATCTCTAAATATACGATTGAGGCTAAATTTTGGTACTCAATAATATTTCTAATAATGACTAAATTCAAAATATATCAGTTATATAATCTGCGCGCCAATTATTATCGGATTTATAACACGATTATAGATTGAAATAATAATCTCGTCAATTAGATTGATTATCGATTTGATAAAAATACTGGCATCATAAAATACTGTAAAGATTAGCCTCGACTATTTAACGCCTTCTTATTTATTTAATAATTTCCTATAAAAGATATTTATTATGATCATATCGGAGACAAAATAGTCGAATGATAAACATGAGCTAACTAGAGTTTCTTCATAAATAATCGCTGAATAATAAAAATAAGCAATAATATCTTTTCTAATTAATTTCTAAAATACGTGATAATTTTTTGGAAACCTTAAATACATGAAGAATTAATCTTGCTATTTCAACAATGTTAAAATCAACTCTGACCCGACCGAATGTGATCTATATGTGCCGTTTAAGTGTATCTAGAATAAGTGCCTTAGATTAAGACAAGGATGAAAATAAGAATTAAAAAAAATATTTAACCGCATATATATTTAAAAGTTCGAAGAGAAGAAGGAATAGAATCACTGTTCTCCAGTCTAAGTGACACAGTGGTATACGCACAAAAGCCGTCGAAATTGTTGAACTATATGCTTGTATCACGAGCATACTTGACAACTATCTGCCGGTGGCGCATAGGATCCGCAAATTTATCAATTTCGTATATTCCTCCGAAGGTTCCTGCTGGCCGGCGCGGCGGAGAGATTGTCTGGAATGTCGCCAGGCCAGCAATCGTTCGTCCAGCTGGAAGGAGAACTTTGTGAGGTGTGCCTGGAAGTCTTTGTGAGAGAAAGTGACGAAAAAGAATGTACGAAGGTGGACTCGAGGAAGAAAAGGGAGCACGGACCGAGGTAGATAGAAAGAGTGGTGAACAGAATGGAAGAAGGAAGAAAGGAAGGGAGGACAAAGTCTGCAGGGCGGAAAGACCACGAAATATCTGTCAATCGCAAGAGCGGGGAGGATCGCAGCGGCGAAGTCGATTTAACGCCCGTTAAGGAAGCAATTCCTTTAAGAAGGACGAGCACCTCGCCCGGAAGGACAACGTAACCCCAGAGATCCTTGACCCTTGCCGGGGTCGCTCTTACGACCTCTTCTCCGCGAGGAATCGCTTCTGCGCCGCCATTATCGGCGGACGAATAGAACATCAATAACCAATTTCGTAAGACTAATATCGCGAAAATTAGTTTTCTTCCCCTTCCTTCCGAGGTCCTCTCCCGCGCGTCCTTCGTATTTCATCGCCGCCGGTACCTTTCGTTAAAAGATCGTGGACCTGCTCGATAGCGACGTTCATGGTTTTCTTAATGTCCATCCACGGGTGGCGAACGATCTCGTGAATCTCCTTTTATCGTCGCGCGATAGTCGTTTTTCTCCGCATCTTTCGCGCATCCCCTTCCTTTTTTTTTACACCCCGGCAGATATATCGCAGTGACGTCATTACGTCGAAGCGACGTGGCAAATTTTTTAACTGGCATTCTTCCACGGGTGTGTAGGAATATCAACGATAAATTCAGTATTCTCAAATCGAAGTCCGCTACTGCATTTTCTACTGAAAGCACCGCGATGTCAAACCTACGACGGATTGATCGTCAGACTTCTTTCATCGTATTTACATAATTCTCAGAGTCATTCTTAGAAAGTACACTATTAAAAATTTCATGTAATTTAATATAGAACTCAACAACAGGCTAATGAGAGTAGAATCGCGGTAATTCTTGCAAAAAATCTATTTATTACATATTGCTATAACTCATAATACAAACGTTAACAATAACCATAGAAGGTCAACAAGCGTTGTTTATGTAGATACATTGAGGATGGCTCGAAAGAAAGCCGAAACGTTTGTATTATGAGTTATAACAATATGTAATAAATAGATTTTTCGCAAGAATTACCGCGATTATACTCTCATTAGCCCGTTGTTGAGTTTAATATTGACAATTTCGAGAGTTGATTTTTTTTTTATTTAATTTAATATACTTTTAAATTACACAATTTGAACTTAATTTCATGACATTACATTAAATGTATTTATAACTAAAAAGTATATTTGTGTACATGAAAAATGTACTTTTCATAAAATTTTATGAAATTTAATTTACATGTTCATTATATTTAAGTATAATGTTGTACTGTACTGTAATAACTGTACTGTAATTTAATTTTCAGTTAAATTGGTCATTACTTTTAATTTCGTTCATAACCACGAGCTTCATTTACACGTAAAGGAAGCATTTCTACAGTGTAAAAATCAAATACGAGTAAAACAAGAATAAATTTTATTAAATTTCACGAACGGGACATTACAGACATCGTCACTCCTGTGCTTGAGACTCAGCTACGATCGCGTGAAGTCTCGCAATGTTACGTCGCGTGACCCAAGGAACACATCAAGTCAAATGAAAATGACTTTATTTTGACGTCATGAAAGTCAAAATGACGATTTTTGGTTACAAAATTTGACTATTTATTGGCGTTAAAAATCAAAATAAAGTCATTTTGATTTTTTGTTGATTTTTACGTGTTCCTTGGAAAGGCGAGACGTCCCATATAAACCGTCGATGCGTGTCGGCGCGGATCGTGCCGGGATGCAAATTTCACGATTTTTCCAATAGCGTTGATGAATAAGGAATCGTGAGGTCGCGCGCCGTGTGCGAGTAATGAAATGGAGTACGGAAGGGAAGAGTGGCATAAAGACCTTGTTGGAAAACTGAGTTTCATCAAGCACTGGTCCCCTTTCTCAGCCCTTCTCTTTCTCCTCCTCGTGTCGCAATCTCGACTCCTTTGTGTATATACATTTGCTCTTATCAGAACGCGCGCTTGTAGAGGATGGGCGACATCGGAGAAGGCCCGAAACGAAACAGAATTTTGCGTACCAAAGTTGACGAAGCACCAGCCATGCATTATTCCGCCCGGCCCTTTGTGCGCGCATCGTGCCGTATCTGTTACCAGTTTTCGCGCGTTCTCTCGTACTTTTTCACCGCTTTCTTTGTTGCCGTCGATGACGACCGCTCGGTAAAGAAATCGACCGGTGCATCCAACATGCACCTCTTTCTTTATTAACAAAAATTGCATTTAGGTGCTTTTGCTTAAATAACTTGGAATTAATGTTGCGGAATTATATAATAACACATGAATACATTATTGTCTAAACGTAAATAACATGATATAATTATGCAGCTAGTACATTGCGCGAGTGGCACGTCATGAACAAAAGCTAATCGATTTTAATAAATGTCACTCGTCCGTATATCATAGCGTCGGATAAATTTGCAGTATAACAGACACTCGTTGAAGCTCTGTAAAATACTCCAGCTAAAATTTAAAAAATGAAGAAATAAAATTCTAAGGATCAATAGTTGCAATATTTTTTTCAAAATTTTATCGTGATCTCTCACATGTAAGTTTAATTTCTGTTGTTAAAAAGCATTTCGTTTGTTATAGTTATTTTAATATTAATTCATTAGATATTGAAATAAAAGGAGCTTATAAGTTTATTTATCATTATTTCCACGTTTAATTGCGTAATAAATTAAACCTTAGAGCTTGTTAAATGTTTTTTTTCTGCCTTTAACCTATATACTTCATTTCAATCAATTCTTCATTTGCCAAGGTTTTTATGGAGAAAAGTGATTGGATGTCTCTCATTTCGCGATATAGAATTATCACAGCTTTAATTCGTCAAGCGAGGGTTACGAAATATGAAAAGAGGGACAAAGTGTGTTGTACAAACTATTAATCTGTCCAATCCGAAAACATGCATAAGACCGAAGGTTCAAAGAACCACTAGCGTGGATACGGATTCTTGCGATCCTAATCGTGCAAGCCCAAATGCTAGACCAGTGGCAGTTAAAGTTTACACATGGAAAGACGCTCAATGGAAGTATTCGCCAAAGGTAAGGGAAGATTATCGAAATTTTCAGATTTAATAAGTTCTAGAATTTGCAAACACATTTGACATGAGTAAATATTCATACAATAATACATCATCAAACTTTTGACTCAACTTTGAGATAAAAATAGCGCTAATACCGCTGCATTGTTCAACGTCTGACAAATGAAAATATCGCAATAGAGAGAGAAAGGCATCAAAATTTTTAACACAAAATTGGATGAACATTTCACGCGAATCACGAGGTATCCAATTCTCAGTTAAATCATGTGGCTTGTCGCTGTGTCGAGCATTCACTTGGCTCTCGCGCGATATTGACACGCCGCGTAACGAGATGATGGTGTTCGAGCACCTGTATGGAATTGGTTGGTCGATACGTAGCTGCGTTTACCTGGAATTAGCTCGACAGTCGGTGTACACTATAGCGATGGGTCTCTAATGGAGGAGGTCTGAGTCCCTGTAACTGTTATCGAGATATCGTTGAGGTCTTGGAACAGGTAGCCGAGCACGACACAAATAGCGAAATGGAATGTAATTGTATGTAATAAAAGTGGTCACAAATTCCTCCTTTTAAAATTTCTTTACTTTTCCTTGATTTCTAGACAAAATTTCATAATTTTCCTTGGCTTTCAATAATATTTGGAAATTTTTGGTTTTTCATCCTGATTTGGAAATTGTTAAATATTTTGTAAAGATTAATAAGCAAATTGGCTAAAAGGCATATTAATAGGGACAGTTACCCTAACTAAGCAGGAAAATAAAGATGATGAATATTGTATGAATCTAATTGCTAAATGGCTATTTCAAATATATTTGTAGTGTTCTTCATATTAAATCAATTTTATTATATTAATTAATTACTATTCAATTAATTTTAATTAAATTTATTTAATTAAATTTATTATATTATTTATATTATTTAAAGTGGATTAAGATCAAATTAAATCCAGACGTTCTTAAATATTTAATGTGATAAAATTTGGATCAGATATCTATTTAGGCGTTTAATTATTTGAACAATTAATAAGTGAAAATTAACTACTTAAATGTCACCTTTATTCGTGGCAGTTCTGCGAACCTTTTCCGAAGAAGTCTCCGCCGTCTACGACCAACACAATACTTTGCAGGGCTGCGGCGTTTTTTATAAAAGGCGCTATCGTTGCTGGTCTCATCTGTTGGACCTGTTCGGAAGGTCTTTGGGGCAACAATACCGAAACGGAAGAGCTGTATTACAGAATGATGAGCGTGATTTTTCCTGATCGGCAGGTAAATAAGCGTCAAATTTAGCATTAAGAGCTGCACGCACAGGTTTCTCTTATAATGATACATATTTTTCGTAGACAAGTTTGCCGCGTTTCAAGGAACTAAAACACTCCGTGTTCGAAACGTACAATGATATGTTGGTGAAAGGTATGGATATCATGGTCAGTGTGCCACGCGATGTGTATCGAAGACTGCAAGAATTCTTGTTCCCGTGCGGTGCAACGAAGGAAAGAAAGAGGGCGAAATGCTTTGACGAGAATTGAGCGGAAATATCATTTCGCAAATTGTCAAATTCGTGTCAAATTTCGAGATACCGATGTGGATGTACATGATACGATATTTCCTTTACAAAAAATTTGTATGGAACTTTTAGTTTGGTATTCAGAGTCGATTCTTATTTTAAGATCGTCTTATGTTAGATAATGTCCTAAGATATAACTCTGTGAATGGTTCTTTTAAGACTGTACTAAAATATTTTAAGACATTTTGAGACTATACTTAAAATGATCTTAAATATAAGAACCGACTATGAATATCAACTTGTGATTGGTTTATGACATCTTAAGATGGTATTTAAGGCGTTCTTAAATAAGAATCGATTATGAATACCAGCCTATATTTTAATATTGTGCGTGGAATTTAAGTGACAACGTGATTGACTGTAAGATCAGAAATTTCTGTAGCGTTAATGTGCAAATAAACGTATTTAAAATTTCCTGCATTATTCGCGCAGGGATTGTTGAAGATATTCTAACTAACGTATCCCTTTCTTTTTTAGTTTTTACATACACAATGCTAGATACGGAATCCGCGGATATACGAGACAGGATTAAAATTCCGCGCGACATCTTTTCCATTTTTTCTCTCCCGTGATGCTCAAGGGCACACGTGGGAGTTTCCAAGGTGTGCATATCAAGCGATTTTTATGGCCTGCCTATGTATCGTCATAAAATCTCAGATAAAATCTTAGAAGCCGAGATAAAAATTCGCGTTTTCATTACACCGCCCTTTCATATCTCTTCGCTGCAGTGTCTTACAGTGTAAATGTTACCATATACATGTCGTCGACGGCTGATGTACGAGCCGTTAAGGAGAGAATATTTTTCGAGTCAGATTCGCGCGATGCATTCGCTTTTGCAACTCATGATACCTAAAGAAAGCGAAAAAAAACGTACGTGCGAAACCAGGACCTTCCTCGTGCATACCGTGAATTTCTCAAAGCCGCCAGCTCCGCCGTGACTCCTCAGACTCCTCACGCGTCGAGTATTCCTTTTTCGTCGAACCAGAAAGAAGTTTCGACCCCCATTTTTCAGGAGCGTCTATCTCCTTTTTGCAGCACGTGAGCGTCGTTTGTCAGGGCACCTATTTTACTTTATAAGCGCGCACCTCGCTCTCCCGCAAGTTGTATACCACGTCGTTGGGGGCGGAAAGGGGCCATCACACGTAAAAAAATTTCAGTCGTAACCGTAAGATCGTAAGCATATCGACTAGCCATAGTTGGGTGTTTTAAAACACAAGATCGTAATTTTCATTGTGATTTGTACTTATGGCCTTACAGTTTACGACTAAAACTTTTTTGTGTAATGGTCGTAATACCGGCTTAGTGAATAAAGAGTATCAAGAAAGAGCATCAATGATACATTATTTTTGGTGTAACAGATGTAACGTTATGAAAGTGAAGAACCAAATAAGACTATTAATACTCGATATCTATGAGTCAAGTTTTATATGAATCATATATTTTATTGAATAAATTAGTACTTCTTTACCATTTTTTTCTTTTAAAAGTAAATTAAAATATGTAGTTGCTGCCCGCAAGGCTTTTCTAAAAAAAATCAAACATTTTATATATAATAATAATAATCTACCGCTATTTTTGTATTCTCGGTGACGTTATGTATTATAAGACTAACCCAAAGTAGAGATCTTTAAGTAAGAGATTGGACATTATAATAGTGTTTGATCAGCCATATTTTTCAGGACTTGCTTAAGGCAGAAGAGATAAATTATGAACAAGATAGAGTGAGATATCCACGTACCTCATTCTATCTTATGCCATCTGATTCCATCTTAAGTAGTTTCTGAAAAATAGGGACCAATCAGAACTTGTCTAAACGGTGTTCAATCTGTTACTTGAGGATCTCTAACCCAAAATAAAACCTAACAATATCGTGATACGTTTCCCTTATTTAATGTGACGGTTTTATTTCGCCAGGACGCATTTTAAATGAATGCCTTAGAGATTCGGACAATTAAACAGTTTATTCAGATCAAAACATGGTGTAGTATATACATACGAGTTAGTTAAACGATATCGGATCGCGTGACGGACAAGGGCAGTGGAGGGAGGAAGGGAAGAGGGACAAGGGAGGGTCTGATATGAAATCACCTATACAGTGAACTTGAGGTTCGGGCTTACGACCGCCGATCGATTTACATGGACTCTCTCGCGTCGTTACAGCTGATTATGTACAGTCACATTACTCGCTACTGTTACTTTTTCGTGATCGCTTGCGCTTATCTTCTTTTTTTCTCTTCTTCGCACTTGATTGTTGAGTCACGCCGACCGAGAACGTGACTTTCGATACCTACTTTCGGGCGAGTCTCCTCGCAACACGTTCGCTCGCTGAATAAGATTCTCGCGCATGTGTATGAAAAAGATTGATATATCCCCGACATTTCCCGTTCTTATAAAATGAATACGGGTAGTATAATACTTTGTCTTATTCTAATTCTCTCGGTCCGCTTTGATGCGTCACCACCATTGCTCATCCTTGAATTTCGAACGATTCTCGTGGACGTGAAAGATATGTGATATCGATTGATCAATTTTTCGACGATCGTTCGGTAACGATTGCTAGAGCCAAGGGATTCATTGCGAATTGGGTAAAGAAAAAAGATTACGTAGATCGCAAAGTTCAAAATTAGATCTGTTAGGGCAAGAGCACACGATAGACAAAAGCCGGTACTCATAGTCGGTTCTTATTTCAAGACCGTCTTAAGTGACCCTCTGAATGGTTCGTGACACCTCAAGACTGAACTTAAGACGATTTTGAATGTAAGAACTAATTATGAATACCGGCCATAGTCAATTGTTATATTCAAGATCGATTAAGTTCAATCTTGAGATGTCATGAACTAATCAAAGCCGCATTAGCATCTTAAGACATTACTTAAGACGATCTTGAAATAAGAACCAACTATGAATACCGACCAAAATTTCGGCCGACTGTGTCATTTACGGAAGGTCCTTGGCAGTGCATGTAACCGTACATACGGATTCACAATTTTAATCCTCCGATAACATGAATTTTAACTCTTCTGTTAGCAATAGAGAGTTCTTTAAGAAATAGAGTCTTTTCATTGTGTATGTGTGTGTTCCGGATTATACATATAAAAATTTTTTTTAATTCTGGTATCTTATTAAAGCTTTAATAAATGAATTTTTACTATCATGGAAGTTGGATTGTATTAACTTTTTTACAAATTTAAATTTATCTACCAAACAGTTTAAATATCAGTAAAGGCCTCAATTACTGGCGAAAGATTAATTATAAGCAGAAATTAGATCGATAAGAATAAATCAAATAAAAGGAAGCATCATATTTTTGATTGAAGCGAATGTTGATGCATAATGATATTCATATGTAAATTTTCGTAAATATATTTTTTCAATTCAATAAACTGCGCGCTGATTCGATTTGTCGGACTTAAAATGCAATCGTAAACTGCATTATTAAATAAACATCATTATTAAATGGACGATCAATCTAATTTGAGATATCAATATTAAAAAATTTTAATTGTTTTCCATAAACGATGCAACAGTCGACCGACATTTCGGCTATCGTATGATTTTGCATTTATTAGAATTCACAAAATTTTCGACACCTAGAAGAGAAGAGAAAATAGAAAAAGTAAGACTCTTTTTTCTTCTCTTAAAAAGGAAGAACCATTGTGCGACGAAGAAATAACGAAGCTACATTTCATTTGTAATAAAAAGGTTCAGAGAGTTTAAAAAATACCTTTATCTACGCACACAAAAATCCGAATCCTGACATCGTCAAAAAATCGCAACGCCGCGACGACAGTTCAATCGATGAGGAGAGCGTGAATTTGAAAGATCTCAGCGGAACTCGTTGTCGAACGTTTTCGTGTCAAACATGAACGCCGATGGAAATAATTTCCACAATTCTGCCTTCGCGTGGATAAGCGACGGAAAGTTAAACGAGGCGCTCGACAAGTCGTTCCGCTGAACTTCCTCTCGAAAACTTGAACGTTGTCAACCTATCGTTAGACTTTCCCGTGATAATATATACAGCGATATATTAACTAACGAGCAACCATCGTACTTGACCATTATCTCTTTATATACACTGAACATCACACACCCGACAATTGATTCGACGTTATTCGCCTCTCGAGGATAGCGACTACTTCGCGTTACCAACGAGACTCTCGTTATTCATTCCTCGGTCTGTCACTCACTCTCTCTTTCTCACTCTTTCTCCCTCTCCTTTTTTCTTTTTTTCTTTTTTCTGTTTTTTTTTTTACACATTACGAGTCTATCGATCATCCAAAGCGCGAACTTTTCCACGAGCAAAGTTCGCGTTACACCGTTTCCATTACGCTTTTCGTCGATTCGTTAGTTCCATTCTCGGCGTAGAAGTTTCACGACTTCGTCGCGAAGTGTCACGTGGAAGACCAGTTTTTGCAAAACCTTACAAAGTGAAGCTTACCTCGCGCGAGAACGCAAAGAACATCGCGAACGCTGTCGCGTTATGTTCCTTTTCGACTTTTCCTTTTTTCTCTTTTTCCCGTCAGGAATCGAACGCGAATAACGGTGATAACGATTTGACAAAGGACCCGTTAAAACTATGTATATATTTACACACACGCACACACACGCATACACACACCCCGGTGGGAATTCTTAGAACGTTTGAGAGCGTCCGAGTCTCGCAAGAGTAGTATTTTTTTTTTTCATCATTCGGCGGGGAGTACAGACAACTTATATCAGCGCGCGCGCGCGGTAGAAAAATTTATAAATGCTCTATCACAATTATCAATAGAGTGTAATGTGCGCCTGGGTTTTGTTTCCGTAAGAATCGCTTCCACTTTGTACGTTACGCGGCTCGGCGTGGTTCAATTTTCATCCCTCTTAAGATGCGACGAGAGGGTTGCCTCTTCTCCCTCTCGACTGTCCGTTAATTCAATTGTATTTACTTGACATCATAAAAATTAAACGGCAGTTAGATTACGCGATCGATGCGATCTCGAGATTCGATATGTAGACGCGTTCGACGACTTACGAGCGCTTTTTCTTTATCTCGAGAGATTTTCTTGAATTTTAATATCGTTATTCACGCCCGCAATATCGC